ATGGATGCTTCATTGGAACTTGTTCCATATGGTTTTCTGACCTCATACTCTATCATATCCGATCTCTGTCTAACCAATCATAACGAAATAACTGGTAGAACTAGTAACACTAACCGCCACGGGTCATGGTACTCGAACCATGTGGGCACCTCTCGATCTGCTATAAACCATGGTACTCAATCCATGTTATCTCCTATTAATATGCTACAGATCATGGTACTCGAACCATGTCATCACCAATCAATCTGCCACTTAGCATGGTACTCAAACCATGACATCACCAATCAATTTGCCCCTTAGAATCTCCAGAATACTCCCTGCACCAAGTATGGTTCCTCTGCTTTCAGTGGTACGAGCCATACTACTTGCCACATCTACACATACTTTCTACACAGACCATCCCAGATTTCCTAAGTAGCTGCGCCACCTTCTCGTTCGTCCACCTCGTTACACGTGTTCGCTCGCCAACGAAATGCTCTATCCTGTCAGCGCACTCATCTGGCCATGGTCACCCCCTAGGCTCTTCCTAGGTGCTCACACTTCTCTGCCATCAGGTGATGAAGAACTCCTAATGATGCTAACTATCTACCTCCTGAATATCGTTAGATTCACTTAGCAGCTGACTCCCATCATCGAGAGTTCCACAAAGCACGGAGCAAGCAACATTCGGGCATCGAATAATCTCCATCAACACGTAAAACCCCTCTAGGTTATAACTCCACTTGCTCTATTCACACACAACAGGTGTCACCGAACTCAAGCACTCTACCCCACATGGCATATAACTACTCTCTCAGTAGGCATCCTTCGATATTATCTAGGTATCTCTCCTAGACTACTCCTCTACTTGAAGTTCTATCTCTGAAATATTCTTGGTGGATACTCTTACTCAACACATACTCGAAAGCACATCACAGATAACAGCAACTCCTAGGCTAAGGCATCACAAATCATGCCACTTTAGTCCTAAAATATGGAATACCTAGCCTATCTCTATCATGCATGATATCTCATAAACATCTTATAACAAAAAAGAAATGGTATTTTTGGAAATCACCGTTCGGGCTCTGGCTGATTGTACACACTGCTCCTTCTCGTTTGTCTTAGAAACTCTTGTTCTCTTTAGAAAAACCATTTCTTTGAAATGTTTTCTCAAATCCTCAGTTTGAGTCCAGATTTACCTGAAGGCGAATCCGAATCCCTCAAACCAAGGCTCTGATACCAACTTATAACGACGTAAATTTTCAAACATTTTTTTTCATTTTAAAATCACATACTTTTCATAACATATTGTACAAAAATATCGTTTATTCAAATTACAAAACACAACTCCATTAATAATTCAGGATCCTCAAAACATAACTCTTTCTCTGGTGTGTATAATCCAGCCGGTGTCGTTCCGCGATCCTGAGAAACCTGAAACACATAACACATAACATTGTAAGCACAAAGCTTAATGAGTTCCCCAAAATACCACATACATATAACAAGCCACTCGAGGCTATGACTCTACGAGACCTTCCGGTCGATGTGTCTCAGTGGACCTTCCGGCTCCACAACTCTGGTAGACCTTCCAGGCCTACCTATGATGACCTTCCGATCCCACAACTCGTTGGACCCTTAGGTCCGGTCAAGCTCGTTGGACCCTCTGGTCCAGTCTGGTTAAGCCTTCCGGCCTCATATATCGTTAGACCTTCCGGTCCGGTCTAGTTGAGCCTTCCGGCCTCATAAATCGTTGGACCTTCCGGTCCGGTCTAAATAACTCCTAGCATAATATCACATGGACAAGATGCATAACTCAAGTAAGCACATAAGACCTTCCGGTCACACATAAATACCACTCTAGGTAACATATAGTGAAAAGACTCACCTCAGTTAGCAGGTAACCGACAAGCACTCGGTAAATCTTGGACTAACACATAAGACAAGCATCTCAATCATTATCCGCCTTATTACTCTTTATACTTTAAATCCTCTTTACCTCTTTTCACCCTCAGTATGGGTGAAAGACTATTTTACCCCTCTTTGGCCCCACCTGCCCCTTACTGGTCTACTCATGAAGTCAACAGAAGTCAAATTGGGTCAACATTCCATGTTGACCCGACTCGCCGAGTGCACACCTGTGACTCACTGAGTCCCCTCGAATTCTCCATGATCTTCCTAGGGTTCGCTCAACTCACTGAGTTGACTCCCAACTCGATGAGTCAACATTGGCCAAGACTCCTAGGTCACACCCACTACAACTCGTCGAATCATCCCATGGACTCGGCGAGTCAACTCCATTGGATTACTCACTCAACCACCGGAGGTCGGATCTGTAGCTCTAACTCATAGATCTAACCTCCTACGACCTAAAATTCGCGCAAAGGTCCGATCTTGATGTCCATGCATGCTGGATTTTGCATTATAAACCATAAAAACTCCATTAATGGTTCCTAGCTTCAAAGCCCAATGGTTGCTTCACCATGGCTTCCCACTTTCAGACTCTCTGGACCCTCCAAGGTCCAGATCTATGTTATCATCTCATAAGAGGGGCTTGATGTATTCAAAACCCCACCAAGAAGATAATACAATCCCTAATCCACAAAAGAAAGATCTACTCAAATAGGGAAGAAAAGCGGTCCGAATTGATATCTCCAACTGATGCTCCTTTATTGCAAATCGCAGATCTACAACCTCCTCTGGCCCCTTTTGCTTGAAACCTTCCTCTTCCTTGCAAGACACCTACCAAGAAGCTCAACATGGCTATCTTTCTTGCCCAATGCACTCAGGACTCGTTTAGGGTTCTCTCCTCTGAAGGGTAGCCGCAAAAGGAGACCTTAAGTGCCTTTAAATAGGCCTAAACCCGAGAGAATTAGGGTTTCTGCCAACAACGCTGACTCGGCGAGTCATCTCTCCGACTCGTCGAGACCATTCATTAACCACATCACTAAGTCGCGACCCTACTCGACGAGTTGAGGCACCAACTCGTCGAGTCCCTCCAAAATCCTTAATTTAAATAATTAAAACAGTGTACTTGGTAAACCGGATGTTACAACTTCCTTGGTATATATTAGTTAGGGGTGTTTAAAACCGGATATACAGAAACTCGGATATCCGAAATTTCGGATAGTGGATTTTTAATATCCGAATTTGTATCTGAAATTTTGGATATCCGAATTTTCGGATACGGATCGGATATCCGAAATTTTGTAATTTTGTAACAATCGAGTACAAAACTATAATCAAATAACAACCCATGAAAATATTAATTATGAAACAAATTACAAAACATAAAATGTTATGATTAATGATTAAATAAATTCGTTAATAAATCAACAAAAACTACATCAAAACAATGATTTGCCTCGATTTGCCTTTATAGTTGATTTCAATTTTTAATTTTACATGAGATATGTATAGCAAACAAAAGCAGTTATTTATCGTATCATATATATATATATATATATATATATATATATATATATATATATATATATATATATATATATATATATATATATATATATATATATATATGGTATATGGTATATGTACTTTTAAGTTTTACTATAGGTTAACTAGTCAATTCTTTAATTGATATATAGATTATTTAAATATTAGATAAATAGTAAAAAATCATAAGGTTAGAAAGTGTGATCAAGTTTTTATATGAAAATATCTAGACGGACAATGTTTACATGTGGGTTGCTCTGGCCAAACCAAAGAATTTGCAATTTACATTTTAGTCATTAATTTAACAAAATATTAAAAAATAACTAAAATCATGAATATGAGTTTCAGATTTCGGATATCCGAAATATTCGAAAATTCTTAAATTTACTATTTGAATCCCAATAACCGGATATCCGAAATTTCAGATCGGATTTTCAGATATTCGGATTGGATGTTTCGGATACAGATATATTTGAACACCCCTGACATTAGTGTTGATGTTAGTAATGGTAATAATGTTCATAGTTTAGAAAATTTTATTTATAAAAGAGTGTATAATGACGTTGTCGTAGATGTGTTACTATGTTTTGTTAAGATTCATTTTATGTAGTTTTGTATTTTGGTGATGTACTTTAACAATATTCCTAATGTAATTTCATGTATTGTTCCTCTAATGGTAATGCTTTCAGTGATGATATTAGGAATCTACTTTCGGTAATGGTAATGGTCATGCACTTTGATTAATATGGTAGTCGTAATGCACTTTCATTATTGGTAATGGTCATGTACTTTGACAACAAACTAAGGCTAAGAGGAGTGGGGGTTGCCACCATGCTTACTAACCTCGCTAGCAATGTTTAAACAACGTCCCCAACAACTTACCAGAGGACTCGTTAATTTCAATTCGTTAACCACTTGACGAGTAGAGAGAGAAAGAAAGGTATGCATCTCACTGGTTCTCAATTTTCATGCACATGTGTATGCCAGCAAGTCATTTCTCATTCCAAAACTTCATTTCCAAATAAATGATTCCTACGCTAATTACAAATCTGTTTACAAATATAGTCACATTCTAAAAACTTTGATTTCAATTAAATCTTTTTAACCCTCATTTGATAATTTCCTACAAATTTGGTCCCAAACATCAAACATTGATTTAAAAGAACCAAAAGGACCTAACACTTAAATATTATACTTATTTTCATGTAATTGATTTATATTATATTAATTGTTGGTGGTTTAAAAAAAATAAAATTTGATTAATATTTGTGTATAAAATATGTTTGTGTATTAAAATAAAGTATTTTAATTAAATTATAGAAAAAAATAAAAAAAAATGGAGTGCTAAGAGTGTTACCACTCCCTAGAAAATGCGAAGATTATGTGTTAAATGAAGAAAAACGAGATGACACTCAAAAAACTGATGTGGCAAGGTGTTATAAATGTTACCACTCCCCTTAGCCTGATGTAATTTGACACTATGGTAATGTTAATGTACTTTTAGTTTCTTTACATGCAATTGCTAATGGTAATGTACTTCTTGTTCTTGTAAAGTGGAGCTACTTCTCACTTTTTATTATGCACTTGTGAAATGGTCATCTACAAAAGTACAAAATAGTACATTACATTACATTAAACGTAATTATCGTAATATACATCCATTTGTACACCCATGTTCAAAAAGGCCATTATTTACAATCATTGTTCAAAAAGACCAACTAGAATTCACATGTTGTAATGTTGTCTGTTGTAAACAACTGGGTCCCAAAATCGTCCTCTATCTTTACATAATCCTCATCTTCATATTACAGGGAAGACACCTATTCTACCTCTTTTGCCTTTCTATTCTCTTGAATCTCCTTCAATTCTCTTCTCTTTATCTCTGCTTACATTTTCCGTTATAAACTTTGATGCCAATCTATGCAAATCAGGAGCAGAGCCCCATTTGCTTGAATGATCCATTCCAAACGTCTCACATCTTTCCAACTCAAAATCATTTGAATCCTCAGAAATATCCGTGTCATAGCTTTTCTTGGAAAAGTTTAAGCTGAATGCATACCCAAAGTATTTCGAACTGTTGAACTGCATATAAACTTCCGGCTTCACAAACCCCCGAAAATTATTTTGGGAACGGGGTGTTTTTGAAAAGAGTGTTTCCTTGAAATTGTGCGCACATCCATGGTTAAATGGGTTCTTCTTTCTTTCGTATCTATACCGGAAGTTTTCATAAGTAGTCTGCATAAAAATCAAAACTTTAAGATACCAATTTGAAAGATTTATGTGAACAAGAAGGAAAGAAGAGTAGGAGGAAGACCTGGTTGGTGATGACGAGATAAAGATGAAAAGCAGATAAGCCTCCAACGAACCATGAAACTGTAAACGTGTATGTTATGAGAGCTATGGATACCGGTGACTTCAGAAGAGCTTCGGAGACAGTGTTATTGTCGGATTGCATAGTCATGATGATGTTTACCCAACACATGGCGAAAACGTAAAGGCATAGTTGTGCTGTTGCCGTTACAAACATGAAAAAGTATCGATAATTTCTCTGAAATTTACAATTTTGAATCATTAGATGTAGATAAGAGTCATAAACCCCATAAAACCCTAAAGTTATAACCATTTACTACCTTGCCGATACATTGGCCCACCCATGGGCAATGATGGTCGAAGCGTTCAACACAGTTATTGCAAACAGAGCAATGAGAGCATCTTGGTGGGCGATAAATCAGACAAGTGTTGCAGAATTTGACCCTAACGATTGTTCCGTTAACGCTAATACTTTTTGTAGGTGGTAGAAATCGACCACTATGACCTGTTGCCCAGTCGGTAGAGATGCTAGAGGCATCCCAATCATCATCAGGTTCCGGACATGGTGGATTTCGGGGGATTATGCCAGGATCTCTTCCAGAAACAAGGAAGATAAGGATAAGAATCTGTAGCATTTGAAAAGAATCAAAACCATAGTAGTTAACAATAGCCAATCTTGTAGAAAAGAGGAAACACGACTCACATATACAGTGAAGACAGCAGGAATTGCTACTAAAACAAGGCCTATAGTATCGGGAAAGTGAACCAAAAGACTTTGAGAAACAAGGGAGCAAAACAAGATTACTGGAACCACAATGAGGCAGATTGTAAGGTTTAGGGACCTGGCATCAGGACCAAATATTAATCTACCTCCGCAAGCAAAAATCTGCAAAATGAAAAAGAAGAAAAAACAATAGAAGGATGAGCAATTTTGACGATTTCACCACCACTTTAAAGATGAAAAACGTTTATGGTGTTAATAGTGGGAAAAGTGAATCAACATGCATTGCCCATAAACTGTTTGATAAAATGTGCATGTTAAAGAGGGATTAAGGAAAGAAAAGTGGATCATAAATTTGTAATCATACGTTGTTTCCTTTCCAGACTTGGTAGAGGCGGAGTGGAGGGGCGTCAATATTGCTGTTTTGCCTATCGGATAATCCACGAGGGAGGCTGGTTCTCTTCATGGCCAAATCAAGGTTGCGATGCTTCCTGAAAAAGGCCCCAAATATCCTACAACAAAAATCAATATGAAATTCAATCTAAATTCTTGTTTATTGATCGTAATGCATTACGAAGGAGAAAAACCTAACCTTTTTCTTGAAGGTAGATGGGGCCAAGGAAACAAAGCAACCCGAGATTGTTAATAACGATCAGGCAGATTGAAGATGATGGAAACGAAACAAATTGGTGTGGAAAAGGGATTTATATTTTGCTGGCGAGAGAAGCCCCTTCTTCTCCCCCCTGCAATGTATCTACGATAATGCTCTCTCAATTATTTCTCTTTCTCTCGTCTCCTTCCCAAGAGGTTTTTTCCTTCTGAAAATGGTGTCTGATTGTGGGTGGAAATGATGCTCTGATATTCTTTTGAGTTTTGACATAGATTTCGCATCCAAAAAATGCATGATCAGTTTTTTTGAAAGTTATGAAATCTTGATGTATATAGTTATTACATCTTTATTTATGTATATAATAATAATCTGTTAAATGTTCAATCTAAAATTATAAATAATTTATTCTAAATAAATGATTTGTATGTTATAATATCTATTTATATTTTCTTTTTAGCATTAAACTCTAATATCTTTTACTATAATATTATAATTTTAGTGTTATAATATCTATTTATATTCTTCCTATTATAACATTAATTTTTAATCTTTTTTACTAGAATATTATACAGATTCGTAAAAAGTATAATAACTATCCGAATATATGATTATATTTAAAAATACAAATTAACACAAAAATTACTTTATTAAAGCATTTAAACTAGCTTCATTTCCGGATACTGGATAGTTTTTTTATTAATATAAAATAATAATACAGAATAGTAAAAGAAAACTATAAATCCATAATTAACAAACTAAAAACTGTGAAGTCATTACTTTCTATATGTAGGCCTTATAAGCATATAATTTAATTGTGCTTCGAATATGTAAGACCAACAGTTAAATATTTATTTCTCATCAACACAACTCCAGGATAAAAAAATAATAATTATTATATGAGATGCAAGGAATAATCCATAACATAAAATAGCTATTTATATATCATTTCCTATTATAACATTAATTTTTAATCTTTTTTACTAGAATATTATAGAGATACGTAACAAGTATATTACCTATTCGAATATATGATTATATTTTAAAATATATATTAACACAAAACTTACTTTATTAAAGCATTTAAACTTGCTTCATTTCCGGATGCTGGATAGTTTTTTATTAATATAAAATAATATAGAATAATAAAAGAAAACTATAAATCCATAATTAACAAACTAAAACTGTATAGTCATTACTTTCTATATGCAGGCCTTATAAGCATATAATTTAATTGTGCTTAGAATATGTAAGACCAACAGTTGAATATTTATATCAACTCAACACAACTCCAGATAAAAAATTTAATTGTGCTTAGAATATGTAAGACCAACAGTTGAATATTTATTTCTCATCACCACAACTCCAGGATAAAAAAAATAATAATTATTATATGAGATGCAAGGAATAATCCAATAACATAAAATACATATATAGCAAATAAGATGGATCTTATCCTCTAAATCCCATCCTCACCGTAGAAATACATTATATATAATAAAATGTATGCAAATCGAGTGGAAATTTATGAAATTTAGACATCACGATCTCTCTTACATTCCGGAGCCATGGTCGGGAACCTTTTCCGATCAGTGCAGTAGTTATAAATGGTGAACTGTTGACGCACCCACCGGAGACGGCGCCACTGATAAGCATCGAGATCTTGAAACTCTTTCTGGTCCCACCACCGTTTGCCTTGGGTCGCACAATATTTAGCATTTACCGATGACTCACAGCCGTCGATGTGGAAACTCTTGTATGCTGCAACAAAAGGTCCCTTTGACCAATCGGTCTTCTCCAACCCACCTCTGGTCGCCCAATCATCGGCATTCCATAAACTCGAGTATATCTTCATCGGTTGGTTGAATGGAAATCTCACTCCCAAATCTTTGCTGTTCTTAAACACCCTGATTGGAACGTCATCCACAAAAAACCTGCATACAAATATATCCAAGATTTCATAAATCTCCGGCGACATTTTCAGATTTCAGACAAGAAATCAAGAATCGGTTCTTTATAATAACTTACACAATCTGGTAAAGATTCCAGAGGACAGAGTAAGAATGGTAAGCTTTGGTGGGGTCAAACCAGAGATAGATGCGTTGCTCCCGGTCACCCTTCCCGCCGGTGAAAACATTAGTCTGTAAGATGTACGGCTGCCCTGTTCTGTTCCCCAAGAACTCGAAATCTATTTCGTCATGCTCCGAGTTTTGGGAGGAAAGCTGCCATTTTTATGAAAGATATTAGCTAAACTACCTTAAATAATATGTACGTATTACATAAAACGGGAAATGTGTTAGGAGGGCGTACATAGAAGGCGGTTACAGTGCCGGCGGAATCTCCGGGAACCATTTTAATCTGCATACTGAAATGGCCGAAGAGGTAGGAGCCTTTGGATTGGAAGCCGGTGCCGGTGTAGTTATCCAGAGACAACTGGATCTCGGAACCACCATTGAAGTATTTGATATGGTCGAATGCCCAGGTGGGTACGTAGTTCCTACCAAAAGGCACAGCCACCGGCTTTTTTGGAGCTGCTCCCATGGCGATATCCGCCATTGCTAACGCACACAGACATAGCCACACCAGACGCTGCATCCTTCTTGTTTTAGTAGTTTTACTGAAAGAAGAATCAAAAGAAAGGAACTTGTGAGGGGAAGCCGAGTTTAAAAGAGTAAGAGTCGTGAAGAATGTATACCTTAAAGGATTTGAGTGAGACAGGATGGTGTGGAGAATGGAAGCGGATGAGGGTGTATATATATATATATATATATATATATATATATATATATATATATATATATATATATGATAAATATTTATATTATTTGGAGAGATAATGATAATGAAAGTAGCAGAGTAGAGAGCAATAATTAAGCAAGCATACAGAAGGGCTACACAGTTACAGCCAGCTATGTGCAATCAGAAACCCTATTTATGGGATTAGCTGTTCTGTTGCTTCTTTGAATTTTTTTATAAATATAGTAGGCCAAAAATTAAAGCTAATGTCGTAAACAATCATTATATTTTATTTTTTTTTATTTTTTTGGTTTATTTGTTTAATTAATTTTTTTTTTTTAGAAACAGTTTATTTTTGGATAAAATTCTATTGCAATAATTATGATATGAAAATACTAGTTTTGTTCTTCCTTCTCTTTCTACGATAGTTATTGATATATGTCAGTGTCGATGTTAAACTGTGAAGTCGTTTTTTTTAATCATTTGATTTCGGTTTTTACTATTTTGTTTCCTTTTATTAGGTTGAAAAGTCATTTGATTTTTAGATGTTTAGGAATGTGCCGCACGCAGTGTTTGAGAGCGTTTTGCTTCTAGTTTTTAAGAAAATGCTAGTAAAAAAGAAAAAAAAATAAAAATTGTTCGGCGACACGAGCGTTTAACTTTTAACCTAAACAAAACGTTCTAAAATCAAAAGCTACATAAAGTAGCTTTCAACAAAACGTTCCAAAATCAAACGTTACCCAAACCTACTACCAGCCACCCGCTAACCGCTACGCGTTAGCAACTAATTTTGCCGAACATACCCTAGGTAGAAAAAATATTCCATTTTGGTATTTTCTAGTGTTGAAAAAAAAAAATACACGGCAAAATTCATTTTCTATAATTTATAATTTAGCCCTAAAATGAAACTAAATCATAGAAACTAAAATCAAATGTTTTTCCGACCAAAAACACAAACTAAATAGAAAAAACCGAACTTTGCAAAATATATATATATATATAGACCTAACAATATTATATATTTTGAGTCAGTATTTATATATAAATTAAAATTGGATATCTATACGAGAAAAATATCAAAATAAGAAGTTTTTTTTTTATGTTGTTAACCTTCAAAGTTAGTTTATATTTTTGAAATTTTGTTTTAAGTTTTTATTTGTCAATTAAATACCTTAGAAACTAACTTTTGAAAAAACTATTTAAAAAATAGGAAACTTTTAGAAAAAATAATGTTTCGATAAATTACGTATAAATTGATAAATTATTTTTAAATATTTGACAAATTTGTTTATACACGTTTTTTTAAGTAAATGTAAAAGTGTAACTTAGTTCTCAAAAGTAATAAATGGTCTAATAAATTAAAGACAAAACTGTAAAAATAATCCCTATTGTATGTATTTTTTTTTTTCGGATTTTAGTCTAAATCCTAATTTTTTGGATTGATGTTCCTTTTGATATGTTTGCTTATGATTTTGGTCCTTCAAAAAACTTAAAAAATCCCTTCTGACACTTTTTATATTTTTCATATTTATTTTAAAGTATTATTAATTAAAAATATAAGGTTCACCTTTCTTTCTTTCTTTCTTTCTCTTTCTTTCTCTCTCTCTCTCTCTCTTTCTCTCTCTCTCTCTCTCTCTCTCTCTCTCTATATATATATATATATATATATATATATATATATATATATATATATATATCATATCATATCATATCGTGTTCATCAAAACATATCACAAAATGTTCCATATCTGAAACAAAGATGGCAAATGGGTATACACCTTCAAACCTAGAATTTAGAAACCCACCACTTTGTAATACCCCCTTCTGAAACCCTTTCCTGGGTGCACCACCAACGAAACAAACCCCACCAATGTATGCTCTATAAAGAATTCAAGCGCTTGTTGTAACTTCGATCTCGTAAACGCAAATTCCTCCTTGATCATACACATATCAATGTTGAGTACATATATAGGTACAAGAATCAAATGAAAGGTTAAGGACGACATAACAGGTCTTGCATCAGAGAGGTGTGTAAGGCTTAGTAGGGATGTGCGGGTGAAATCGGATCAGAGAGATCGAGGTGGCGAAAGGGATGACGTACTTGTTGACTTCAATTTTTTTAGAAGACCAGGCATTCCAGTTTATACAAACACCGATGATTCCTTCAGGATCGATGTTCGCCCTCACCATCGAAATTTTGGGTGGAAAAAATGAAAGTTTTGTTAGTGTAAATTAGGAGAAAGTGGTGATTAGGGAGACGAGGAAGAGAACCAAGGGGGGAAATGGGTGGAAATGGAGAGATGCAGTTCTTGTGTGTACCTAGAGCTGTAGGTTGTGACCACTAGTGAAATTGTTGGTGATAGAATCGATTTTCAAGGGTGGTGTATGATAAAGGAGACGCCCACGAAAATTGGTATATCGACGCTGCAAACAATGGTGATGGCGCCAAATAGTCATACACTATATTTGGGTCTAGGTTTTTAGAGAGAAAATCAGCGGACTACTCACGTTCAACTTTGTTGCTCTTTCTTTCCCGGTAATAGATGCTTAGACGTAGAAGACGGTGTACCCGATGGATCAACTAAAGAGGTGGAATGGTTATGGTGGTGGCTGAAAGAAACAAAGGTTCTTTTGGGTCTAGGCTTTAGCAGGAAATGGTAGTGATTTAGCTATAGTGTTTTGTCTCGCAAACTGTACACCCAGATTTTTCTACCAAGGTACACCCAAATTTATCAAAAAATCATTTAAAAGTTTTACAAATAATCTTGGTGTATAGTGGCACTCTGGCATACAAGAATTTATCACAAGGATCGTGCTGGCAGCAAGCACAGGATCGAGCCGAGCGTCACAATAAATCTACCGGCAAAACAGATTATCACAAAAACATAAGTCTCACAGCTTAGTGAATAACAACTACTATAACATAGTTATATAATAAGATAAAGCATAAAATCATACAACTCATGCAAATTATATAAATTTCACATAATTGTCACATATCCAATATAATCATTTCATCAAGGGATCTATCTATCTGTAATAATCTATCTCTCAAATATTTATCTTCTCGATAATCAATACCTCCCTCATATTCAATATATCGATCCATAACCAATCTATCAAATAAGTTTTATCTTAAAATTATAGTATATTCATTAATCAAATATCAATCTATTAACATAATATAATCTCTCAATAATTATCTATTTCTCAATATCTCAATCCACAATTACGTATTGTCAATAATAATCAACCATATAATAATTATCACATTTATCACGACAATGGATGTTAGAGTAGTGTTAATCACCTAATTAGTCGACATACTTATTCCAGTCTCAGCTTTGCTCTTCTACTATCTATTGGCTCGTTACATGGTAACACCACAACAGATCTCGTATCTCGGCTCCACATGCCCGGTATAACGGTATAACATCTCCAGTATAGACTCCAGAGAACAGCTCCCGAGCAACATCTCTCCTCCCGTGAGCCGAAATCCTCCAAAATAACTTAAAGGACTCGTTTTTATAGTCTGGGCTTGCTCACGTTGTGAGCATTTACTTCTCATGTCGTGAGACATGTTTAGACCGGTTTCTGCCACGTGTCGTGCTCTTTCGCCATGTGTTTTTGCCGATTCATGATGCTCACGTCGCGAGGAAACATACCTCACATCGTAAGGGTCAAAGGTTTGACCGTTGAATTGACTTTCGTTGACCTTCTCAATATAGCAATGTACTTTCATCAAATCTTCAAAAGATCATAACTTCTCCATACAGACTCCGTTTTCGATGATCTTTATATCCACTGAATCCTCTCAACAAGCTCTACAACAATATTTAATTATCTTTTTATAAATATTATTTCTAAAAATAAAGCAACTTACGGTTTTATCTTATTTACTCAACTCATAATATCTATATTTCATGAATTAATACCTGTTATGAAAAACCGGATGTTACACAAACCAAATGTTAGAATATATATATATATATATATATATATATATATATATATATATATATATATATATATATATTCTAACTTTTGGTTTGTGAGACAAAACACCATAGCTAAAAAGTATAACAATTTAAACACAATGTACAACTATGTTAATAAATAAGCATCAACTTTAATCCCTCAACTATATATCATTTGTCACTTGCAAGCCCTTTTTTTCTAAAATTATATTTTCCATATTTTCATTTTTTTAAATATCACTTTCACCTCATCCACCTTTAATTTTGTAAAATATCATTTTTATCCCTTCGTTTTTTACACTTTCGTGTTTATCCTCCGTCCCCATAATATATATATATATATATATATATAATATATAATATATAATATATATATATATATATATATATATATATATATATATATATATATCAATGCGTAAAATGCAACTTTAGTCCCTTAACTTTGTATAATGTGTCACTTGCAAACTCTCTATTTTATTAAAAGAAATTTTTCCTCATTTTACTTTTTAGAATATCACTTTTATCCGTCCACCTTCAAATTTGTAAAACATCACTTTTTCGCTTTCGTTTCTAGACTTTCACTTTCATTCATTCCACTTTCAACTTTGTAAAATATGACTTTTATCATTTCGTTTTCTAGACTTACGTGTTTATCCCTTGTCTTCGTAGTATATATAATATGATTTTTACTCATCTATTTTATAAAATGCATTTCCACCTATATTTTTTTGAAATGTTACTTTGACCCATAAACTTTGAACTTTGTAAAATATCAACTGTTTAATCATTTCTTACTCATAATACGCAAAAAAAATACGTAAAAACTCGCGGGAAAGCGTGGACTGAAATACTAGTGTGTGGGGGTGGGTGGGGGGGGGGCATGTATGTGTGTCTATATATATATATATATATATATATATATATATATATATATATATATATATATATATATATATGTTTGAAAAAATAAAAATATATGAGAATGGGGAATCATTCTCAATCAATCATTTATTTTTGCCACAGAACCTTCCATCGTACTGACAGAAACGAAAAATGAATAGACATGCATTTTCCAACCAAACATGTTTCCTTAAACTATGTTAATCGTGACCTTAATATATACGTTAGAAATCCATGACAACCCGAAGTTCGTTCCGTCGTCGTAACCCGTTTCCGTCATTAAAAATTCATCACAATTGTTTCCGTTCGTTTAAGTCATTAATTTTAAGTTTGTTA